ACATGTCGACCATGAAGGGGCAGTCAACGACCCGCGGGTTGAGGTGAACCTGACCAGACGAGACCAGGGGCGCAAAGTGCAAAGAAAACGATAAGCAGAAGATGTCGATGACGTCATGCTGTGGGACGAGCAAGGTAAACCCAGTGTGCTCCCCCCCGCGCACCCCACTCACTCTCATCCCGCTCCACACAACATCGTAATACATACATACGTACATACATTACATACATACATACCCACACGCCACTTCCGTACCTTCCAGAACATCTGCAGTTGCCGTAGTTGTTGGTAGAACTTATCCTCCCGCTCCACATGGGCCTTGTGGGACAGCAGCAGGGGGAGGAGGAGGAGGAGCAGGAGGAGGAGCAGGCGGGGTGCACGGGGCAGGAGGAGCAAGATGACGGTGATGATGGTGACGAGGAGAAGAAGGCGGTACAATTACGGCAGTAGTAAAGTAGGAGACGGAGAAACCTCCGAGGCGAGAATACGATGAGCGGGGTGGGGGACAAGAGCAAAAGGTCTGACACCGTCGCCCCCCCACCCCCCCACAGAATGCTAAACACCTGCTTCAACCGCCAGTGGTTCGTCTTAAAACCCACTTTCCCATTTGCCCAATCTTGGCCCCCCCCCATCGACCTTTCCCCCCTCCCCCTCCCCCAGCAGCTTCACTCGCTCGTGGCCCGTCTTTCCCCCCTGCCCCCTTCCCCCTTCCCTCCCACCTTGAGCAGCTCTGCCCCCCCCGCCAGCCTCCGGGACACCCGAAGGAGGCTGCCGCTGGTAGCCGCCACTCGGGACTGGAGACTGTTAGCAACCGCGTCCTCGCGCTTAACACCGGGACGCCTGGGAGGGGAGGTGACCCGTGGGTCGGTGGGTCGGCCGTCGGCGCGTCAGTGGTCGGTAAGCAGTGGGGCTGCGGGGTTCATTTCTGGTGGCGCCATCCCCCCCTCCCCCCTTCCCTCTCCCCCTCTCCCTCCCTCCCTCCTACCGATCCACACCCCCACATTGCCTCAACACCCCCACCTTCCTACTCCTCCAGCTTCCCCATCCACCATGCAAAAAATGCTCCTCCCGCCCCCCCCCTGTCCCATTCGTGATAAATCCTCACTCGCTTGATCCAGATCGGGGGGCCACAATGGCAATCGCCCGTCGTGCCCGGGACCGGGAGGACTTAGAGCTGACTTAGACACCTCCCGTGGAAAACCCCTCCCTTCCCGGCATCCGATATCTGCTTCATTTGGTCGTCCAGTTGGTTCGTCGTACCCCTTCCTGCCGGGGGCCCCCGGGGGTGACCCCACGTAACCACTTCCGGAAACCCCCCCGTTTACTTCTTCCCGCCCCGTACAAATGTCCGTACATATATCCCGTACATCCCGTACATCTCCAACCCTTTCATATACATCCCTTTCAGCAACTCCTCCCTGTAACCCCTTTCCCCCCCCCCGCTGCCCCCTTGCCCCCAACCCCCCCTCGCACCTTCCTGCGCTGAAGGGCTTTGCCTCAATAAAACTCCGTTCCAGATTCGTTACCACATCCACCAATATGTCCAAATTGCCCTGGAAAATAAAGGATGTGTATGTATGTATGTGCCTTCAAGTTAGGCAGATATTGCGTCCATGACGCATCACCAATTATAACATCGACAAGATGGGGAGGGTGTTCCGAACGTTGTGTTGTGCGGGGATGCAAAAAAGGGGGGACGTCGAGGAAAAGAGCCCGCCCCGTAATGCCAGTTGTGTTGTGTTGTGTTGTGTTGTGAATGAACCCATTGAGGCGAAGGGATCCAGTATGTCGTGGATCCAGAACCAGTATTTCAAGAAAACGCAATGAGGGGGGGGGAATTAGGTTTTATGGCGGCGTATGAGGGTAAATACCATGCGGGTATATCAGAGCTTTATCCCAGGGGCCCAGGACAGCTGCCCCTATCAGGAGCCCAATCCCTCCCCAACATTCCCCCTACAGTTTGTTTGAATGAATGAAGAGGTCAGTTATGCGGCCGTTGAAGTTGACCTACGGTAGGACGGGAGGTTGTGGTCAATGGTTCCCCCAGAGGAGCCATCGGAGGCTCTCACCTTGGCATCCTCGAAAATCTTTATAATTTCGCCAGGATCTGGGGGTGCCTCCTCGGCCTAGCAACAGAAAGCGGTACACAGCGATCCAGGGAGTTTTGGAAGTCTTGGCGGCCGGGTTTGGCGTTCGGGTTACCGTCCATGCGCCGTCTCCGCCCACACACCTCGGCCGGCGCATCTTCCGTTGGCCCTGCCGCGTCCAGCAGCTGCATGTAGGACATGTCCATTGGATCCCATCCCTCTCGAACCTCCTTCCCATTGGGCTCCATGGCCTTCAGACGTTTACTGAAAGGTTGAGGCACCGCGAAAGCCATTTCTTATGATCAAAAATTGAAAATATGGCGGCGTTTGCCACGACCTTCGCATCCTAGGCCCGGCTATTCGACACGTTTAAGTCCAATATCGGCAAAAGTATGCCGCATCAATCCATAAGGGCAAAATCATATCCAAAATATGATATTTCTTTTTGTGATCATAACCGATGAGCTGGTACACAAGAAAAACAAGTGGTTTTGGAGCATCACAGAGAGCAGAGAACGCATCAGCGAAGACGTGCGGACCAGCAACAAACCACCATGTCAGCCTCATTGGTCGCAAACTGCCCTTACACATCTTGCTCTGGTGCTGTCAGAAGGCCGTCCTGTTTCACGAGAAGGCCTTGGACGGGCGTTGCACACCGGCGTTCTCGCTATGGCGTGCATCGTCATCACATCACGCGTGCCTCCAATACAAGCAACGAGGAAGGTAATCAGACTTGCCTAGCAACGGGGCGTATGACGTGCGATGGGCATGAGCATCCCGCAGCGTGGAACGCAAGTAAAGCCCTCCGCGAGTTCGGCTTACATAATAACCTTTGAATTCCTTCTATCTCGTAACACCACATTTACATAATGCCATCACCTTTGTTTCCTGCACTACGCAACCCGCACCGATACTATCTCCGCCTTTACTGCCCGTACTGCCTATCGCGTTGACTTGCTTGACGCCCGCGCAAGGCCCTCACTGTCATCACCCGTCGCTCCCCGCTGAGTCCCACTACTAATCCCGGATCCCACCTCAAACTCCGCCAGCATATGCCGTACCAACAACGTACGTACCAACCGATTCCCCACCCGCACCGAGGTGGTCGCTAAAAGCACTAGGCACTAAAGCCTTTTCCACATTAAACCCGAACCACCATTATCACCAAACCGTTGCCTGATTCCATACCACGTTGATGTTGCAATGGCCACTCCCCGCCCCCCAGCCTCCGATTAGCTGCATACATGCATACAACACGCATAGTTGGGTATCGCACAACCCACCAAACCAACGTGCGAATCTCAATCACATCACCCGTGACCTCAACTACTCTTGCACTTCCGACAATGTCGGGGATCTACCCAGGAATCGAACCCAGAACCGGTAGATAAAAGCGGTAAATTGCAGCAGTAGTGTCTCCAGACCAGGAATGTGCGCACTACTGTGCGCGCCCCAGTACACCCTCAACCCAATCCAAAACACGCCAAGTCATAGGTCTCGTTACCAGCCAGTGGGCTAACCTCGCTATTTCTGAACACTTGTTGAGCATCACATGGGTTTTTTTTACCTCCCCCCTGCCCCCTGCTTCACGTCAGCAGTTTTTTACTACTTTTTCGCCGCCTCTACACCTACCTTTACTCCTTTACGGCTTGGCTTTACTGCTTGTCTTCCACGCTTATTTTGGTTCTGGCGGCTAGATACAGATATAGTAGTTTTCCGACATCGTCTTCATTACATCATCCCGAGGTCGCCGCCTTCAAGGACGCCTTTTGGTCAGTCCTACTTCTTGTACACTCTTTCCTTGGCAACAGCTTCACTCGTCCGTGGTTCGTCTTTTCCCCCTCCCCCCTCCCCCTCACC